GAAAAAAGCAAACCGAAAGAGTGAGTAGATTGTTAATCACAGTATGGAACCTCCAATCCGGGCGGCCTGACTGCCTAGTAACATGCAAGGGTTGTACAAAAATTTATGTTGCTTGTACCCAGAGCTTGAATTTAATGGCTTAAGGCATAAACATTCTGAATTACTGATGAATAGAAAAATCAAAACTAAATCTTCAAGCTGATTAAATCATATGCTTCCAGACAGGTAACTTAGACTCATCCAGAATATATATGTCTTCAAGACTTTAATAGGTAGCAGTCTGCCACAGCACAAGTCTTATCTGTGGCTGAGATACAGTATGGGTCTTCCATTCTATAGAAACCCACTACCATGCAAAGAAAGAAAAAGAACAAAAAAATAGAATGGCCATCAGCTAAGTCCATCATTTGAGACCCCTTAGCTCAAAGGTACTTTCCAGAATATGGCCTAGCTGAGACTTCATTTCAGTGTCAAACATACTAATTGGGTTGGCAAACAGAAGAATTTTTTGAGGGTTTTTCCAGGCTGTCCTGGATACGACATGACCTTTGCAAAGCTTTAAGGGCTCAACAAAAACTGAAAGTATATCTCAGGAAAGCACACACACACAAAAAAATCCCGCTTTCCAATTGTTTCTGAGTTGTGTATGAAGATGCACCAGAAAAGCTACGGAAATAAATGTTCATTTAAATTGGTTCAACTAGGCATACTTCACATGTTTATATCTCCCACCCAAGGAGACCTCAGCTAATCTAATGTATGCACATAATGATTCTTCATTTGTTTAACAATTCATTTATGCAAGGAGAACATGAATTGGAAATGCTAACCTCAAGCATCAACAAGAGTTACATCAGGTCGTCTGTATGCAAGACCTAATTGCTGGCTGTTGTTTCCTTCAGCAGCCAAACATTGTCATGAATGACTGTGTTCTGCAATTAATCTCCTGTAATTTAGCCAGTTTTTCATACATTTTGCATTGAACTTAAACACAGATCAGTTGAAGCAGTCTTTGTCTCCAAATTAGCATTCTGTGGACAAAAGCTTGCATGCCTTTGTGTTGCTGAAAGTACTTATTACCAATCTATCATTGGCCAACCCATTTCCTATGCGCAAAAGACTGTTTCTGCTTTTCGTCTCATGCTTGTTATTCAGATAGGAGAAGTTTTCAAATTAATTTGTAATTGTATGTATTACTATATTAATTGGGCTATATGTGGACCTCTGGCTTCTTTGCACGAGCATAGTGGTACAAGGATGCTATAAAACTGATCTGGTACAAAAGGGCTGAAGGGTCTAGAAGAGGATATATTTCAACAATCCGCAAGGATATAAAGAGCTTGTCCAAGAAGCAGTAGGGACAAGACTCGGGTGGCAGTATACCAACTATGTCTATTAGCTTTTGATAAAGTGTGATGCAAACTTAAAAATTTAATTCTTTTTTGAGAAAAGAGATGTTCTTTGTGTTACTTGTTCTTTACTTCTGAGCCATGGAGGCTTTAAAGAAAAGAAATTGTCTTCAAAGTTTGAATTCTCTTCAAAAATTTTTGGAGGCAATAAGGCGATGACTAAACCTTCGGAGTTTGCAGACCAGAAAAAGAGCTGTGGCATGTGTCTTGCAGAAAGAGAGAGAGGCACAAGTGTCCTAACATCTCTCTTGTCAGATGGCTGTGAGGTACAAAGGATGGTGCTTGTGGCTCCTGCTTAAGATGTTACACTTCGTGCAGTGGAGCTGGGTGTCTCTCTAGGTTAGTTTGGTCAACCTTTTGTTTAGTTTGCAAACTAGAAGTGGCCCTCGGGCTGCCAGTTGGAGAGGTCATTTCAAGACTTTCTATTTATCCTTGAAGGCTAGGAACTTGGTGACTATCTGAATAGGATTTGCATACTTTTCTGTATTGCTTTATCTTATTCCAAGCCAAACCCAGTTGAGAGGGCTTCTACAGCTCAGATTATCAAACATAAGTCTATTTTAGAGCTTTGCTAGGTTGAAGATGAAGGTAAGGCTGAGTTTTCCCCACAGAACTAAACAGACATAAAGTATATTCTTACTGTTGTAAATCCCATCATCTACTACTACCAACAAAAAAATGCTTCCTAAACATAGATATTTTATGATACAAAACCTGCATCAAGGAGTTAGAAAGTGCATACTAGTGTCAGTGTTATAAGCGTAATTAATTTGAATATTTATCAAAGAGCAGTATTTTTTTGGTGAATATTTAGCTCAATACTGCTCTTTCAGTTGCTGTATTAGTAATCCTCTATTATAGTCTCTCTAATCTATTAGAGCTGTAAGAATAAAAGTAATGTTGCCCAAAGCCAGCTTCTGCCTTCAGTTGCAACCTTGCTCACTGTCATGCAAAATTTAATATACTTAGTGGCTTAGATGCTGAAATTTCAATGTAATCTAAATACCATCATTCAGATTTTCACAGGTTTGCATTTAAGGCTCTTTTTTTACACATCTGTTCATTTTTAGATTCTCTAGTGGCCTTCAGTGAAAGTGTGAAAAGTATCTATTAAAAAGGGTGTTTATAAACACAATATTTTTGGTATTTTATGTCATACAGGTTTCTAGTGGCTTTAACTACATAAAAAATCCAGTTTCTCTGAAGTACAGAAATCTCATCACATACACGTGTATCTGGATGATCGAAATTTTTGTGCTTCTTGTTCAAATAGGTAGATGGATACCTTAGCAAAAGATATAATAGCATCTAATAGTGAAGATTTTAAGAGCTGCATTTTGAGGGACTGTTACTTTTCATGCTGTTAAAATTACTTTTAATGAGTTGCTTCTGTATTTATTTGTCTGTACCAAAAAAATAATCCTGAGGACATTGATAATCTACTTATTTGGAAAAAAACATATTTAACAAAAGGTACCATTCAGAAATAAGCCCTTTATAAAATCTTGAAATATTCAGTAGAGAGAAACACCCAAATCCCGTAGCAGTCACTGAAAAGAATATTGTGAATTTCAGTAGGCTTTTGTTGATCAGGCAATTATGGAGGTAAATACTATCACCACAAAAGCTCTGCTTCCTCTCTTTGTGAGAACAGCATGATTAGTAATATAAAGATTACAGAGTACATCAAGTAAAATCCTTCATTAATAGCCTGTAGAGCCCATTTAACAAAATAAGTCCAAGAACTTTTAAGCTTAGACTGACAATGAAAGCATGATCGCAAAACCAAAAAACGTATATCATTTAAACAGGATAAGGCCCATGCCAGTCCCAGTGAAGAAACTTTATTCCATTTATTCAGAGTTTTTCCCTCCCTATCCTCTGGCATGCTAACCTGAGAGTCACTTCTATATTGCTTGATAAATTTGTTCCTTCGCTCTATGAAGCATTCCCTTTAAATCATAAGGATGGCTTTAATTGCTGACAAAAAAACCAATATAATTTTCATCTGATGGTATGTTCTCCAGACAGAAGTGTGCCAGAATCGTGTCATGGCAGCAATGCTGAACAGTATACCTGAGGGTGCTTTCTTCTCCAGCCATAAAGATAGGGCAATCAGCTGAGGGATGAGTAGGGATCAGCAGCCAGGTTAAGGGCACAGTATCCTTATTGCCTTTGCTTCTCTGTGCAGAAATGAGAGCCACTGTCCCTCTGCTGCTGTTGCTGCCTGAGCAGCTCATAATGCAACCAAACCTCCAGGCTAGCTCTCTGGACACAATTTTAGCTGGTCCTGAATCTGTTGTCAGATCTGTAGAGGTCTATCGTTTTTGATAAACAGGACAGGGCAAAAAGAGGGCTTAGGACAACATTTTCATTCTCGGTAATGGTAAAGTCAATATAAAAACATTGCTATTTTCATTGTCCTCTGCAAGATTTTCTAGCAAATTGCCCAGAAAATGTATTTCTTCCCTTCAAACTGTTTTTTAGAGCTGCAGCTTATTGTGTACCTCTCCCAAACTGCAATCCAAATACATGTTTTCTAAATAGTTCCCAGCACAGAGACGCACGGATGCTTGCAGCATCTACCTCTTCCCCAGTTAATGTTACAGTAGTGTTGGATAAATGGAGTGCTTCTGTAAGAAAAGGGTTTAAAGTACTTTTAGAATATGTTTTATTTAAAGCTTTGAAGTAGCATGATCAGATCATAACTTCTCAAGGCAGTACAAACTTCTTTAGATGTATATCATAAAAGTTATCTAGATGAATTCAGCAAGAATTCTGCATTTCTCCACACCCTACCAAAAAAGTTCCAAATGTGTGTTGCCTGCACAGCCCCATCACTGGGGTTTCTTTTTTGCAGCTGACTCATGTTCTGAAAAAAAGCTCAAAGTCAGGCAGAAAAAAATGCCAAAATATTAAATACTGTATTTTACACTTTGTCTTCCCTGGCATGTTGCCTGAAAGATCTTTTCAAATGGTCTGTTCCTCTTACAAATCTCTCTACAAATTTTAAAATGTTTGATCAAACACAGTACTGGTTACTTTGCGGAAACAGAAAGAAGCTTTATCAAATGAGCAAGTGACATGACACCTTGAAAGCCAGGCCACCGTGCCCAGCAACCCTGGCAGCAATCAGCATGGAAGGGCAGCATGACCAGGAACAGTGCAGTAGAGTGGAACAGTTACTGTACACTGTTACAGTTACACTGTTCCACAGTGTAACACTGCAAAAGTAAATCATTCTCATAAAAAGTGGATCTCAAGTGCTGCTCAGCTGACACAACAGACCTGAAACAGTGAAGGGCTCTTCAAATATGTGATGAAACTAAGGACGGACCTAGGAAGAAGGGCATGCAGTGGAGGCTGAAGACCCTTTTGACAAAGTAGGTACTTTGGAGCAGAGCGAGCATTCCCACTTTGAAGCAAAGGGCTGCAGGATCTGCCCAGAGTGGTAGTTCCTTTGATACATTCAATGGACATGGTTAATATCATCTTGTCTTCTTGTTTGCTTGAAAGAAGTTCTTTACAGATGGTGTACTGGACTCAGTTTTGTTTAACATTGTTAGCTATGGTCATTTACATGCCTTGCTGATTTTTTTTTTTTCTAGGTACACAAAAATGAAGACTGCCACCAATATCTATATTTTCAATCTTGCATTGGCAGATGCCCTAGCAACAAGTACCCTGCCATTCCAGAGCGTGAATTACTTGATGGGAACTTGGCCATTTGGCACCATCCTTTGTAAGATTGTTATATCCATAGACTACTACAATATGTTCACCAGTATCTTTACACTCTGCACCATGAGTGTGGATCGCTATGTAGCTGTTTGCCACCCAGTTAAGGCCCTTGATTTCCGTACCCCCAGAAATGCCAAAATTGTCAATGTCTGCAACTGGATCCTTTCTTCTGCCATTGGCCTGCCGGTTATGTTCATGGCAACCACTAAATACAGGCATGGTAAGTCTGGCTTTCATTCCTAACTTGAGTATTTTGATGTTTAAACTGCTCTCTACATTGTTTCACTTAATTGTAGAGGCATTGTATTAACTTCCAACCTCCAACCTGTATAGAGCAGGTACGAGTACCAGTGGACCCCTTCAACAATTTTGCATCTGTCTGTAATTGACTGGACACAGCACTGCACATGATCTTTTACAGCAGGCAGCTCCAGCTGTTTCTGGGGGTCCGTGTAAGTCTTCCTGCTCAACACAGTCACTGTACTGTTTGGAAAAGTATCTGCCTGCCTGCCTTCTGCTGTGGGGCAGTTATGCACTGCCCTGCAGTGCAGAAGCCTGTGCTTTACCCAGGATATTCCACTGAAGTTTGCAGTCATAGATGTGTTGCACGTAGTCTGGCAGGATGTGATACAAAGCACGGAGCACGTTCTGGATCACTGGTACTCAAAGACCTTCGAAGAAGTGACAGCATTTCACCATAAATCCAAACCTTCCATTTTGCACAATTATGAAGCCCTGAAATGCCCAAACTCTGGACAGATGTGTGGTTAAACCATCTTTCTTTTCACCAGGTTGTATACTGAAAGTGAAGATGGGTCAAAGTTTAAGCATTTATGGCAATTCAACTCTTTTTCTTGTCCAAAATATATGTAATTCCAAGCAATAAAATGCAGAAAGAGCATATTACTTCACTTTTGGTTTTGTAAGTCACACTTCATACATCTTTTCTAGTGGTGTGTCCTATCAATGTTTGTGCCAATGACAGGTTATGGATTGTTTAATTTTATCTGTTTACTTAGTAAATCTTCATATATTTGCCTATGATATATAACAAAGACAGTTTAAAGAAAAGCAAATGAAAAACTGACCCACTTGTTCTTCTTTGCTGTTTTCCCTTTTCTGCAGGCTCTATTGACTGCACACTAACATTCTCCCACCCTGCATGGTACTGGGAGAACCTCCTGAAAATCTGTGTGTTCATCTTTGCCTTCATTATGCCAGTCCTCATCATTACCGTATGCTATGGGCTGATGATTTTACGCCTGAAGAGTGTTCGCATGTTGTCTGGCTCCAAAGAGAAGGACAGGAACCTGCGGAGAATCACAAGGATGGTTCTTGTAGTGGTGGCGGTGTTTATTGTCTGCTGGACTCCCATCCACATTTACGTCATCATTAAAGCCTTGGTTAACATCCCAGAGACTACGTTCCAGACTGTTTCCTGGCACTTCTGTATTGCTCTAGGGTATACAAATAGCTGCCTTAATCCAGTCCTTTATGCATTTCTAGATGAGAATTTCAAAAGGTGTTTCAGAGAGTTCTGCATCCCCACTTCCTCAACCATTGAGCAGCAAAATTCCACCCGAGTCCGACAAAACACTCGTGACCATGCTTCCACTGCCAACACTGTGGACAGGACTAACCATCAGGTATGACTAGCAGTGGAGATGTCATCTCTGGATCCAGGCCTCCAGCCTGGAGATGACATGTATTCTGAAGTTACAGTTAATACTGATTTGTAGCTCTTTGAAGGTCTAAACACCTTCAGGGTTATGGTTGAAATTGGCGTATGCATACACAGGACCGTAGTCGTGCATGATGCTAGTTGTTCTGTCCTCTAGTTGATGCTCAGAAGCTGAGGGCTTTCAAAAATACCTTGCATGACCAGGTCCAGTGTGCATGCATATACAAAGCACACAAAACAGTGTTTCATTTGCAGGATGTTTACAACAGATGACTGCTTTAGAACCAGTTGGAGATCACAAATGTCTCTACTCAGACTCCTTGTCTGCTGATGGAGACAGGAGTGGGACAGAATATAGGTATCTCTTCTTCTCCCACTGCAGCAGTGAATAGAAAAGAAAAGAAACTGTGCTTGTACACTTTTGATCGATGTACAAAGAAGGCCTACATGGCCTTCTTTGTCTTGGAATACATACAAGAAGTAGACAAAGGCTTGTCTACATTCAGTTCTTGGATCAGATAATTATCTGTGTTGGCTAACGTGGGTTTTGAGATAGAGCTGTATATAAAAATATAAATATATACGCACATGTTGAGGAGTATTATGCCATTTTGCCATTTAAGGTATATTGAGAATATACCTTTTCCATGTAGAAAAAGCCCTTGAGAAGTATAAGCCTTTGAGATTTTACAGCACAGCAGATACAAGAGAAATAGATACTGGGTTTTTATTAAGGCTATTCCTTAGCTTTTACAAAGAAGTTCTTCTGTTACATGTCCAACATCCGTGTTCTGGTGGTTAGTCCTAAGAATTTCCAGTCCTTATCCCTCATTGAATATCAAGCAAAACATGAAAGCCAATCTTAACATTCATGAAAGCAACTCAAGCACATCACAAGCACTAGAAAACTTTTTGAGTTCTCCCTGCAATTCATTAAAAAGAAGAACAAAAGGCACAAAGCCTAGTTCATTCCTTGCTGTATCACTTTTCAGCAATACACTTAGGTTGCTCCTGCCTGCACCAGTTTTTCACTGCTGCCACTTCGGCCACAAGCTGGCTGCCTCCTCAAGGTGCAGAAGTCAATGGCTTTCCATGAAAGCAGTTGCATACCTGCCACTCAGCTGCTGCCTAAAAGCCCAAATCAGAACATTACCATCTTGAAACAGACAAAATAGTAATTGTTCCAGAAAAGGGGAAGGCTGAAGAGAGAAACATTATTAAGCATCTGCAGTTGGTACTGTCATTCACCAGCATCCAATTCATACATGCCAAAATGTGTCCTGTGAAATCAGTTACTGCCTGCTCAGTATTTACGCACACTTTGGTGATGGAGCAGAACTGCCAAACTTGACATAGGCACATAGACATATGTATGTATATAGATGTAGCAGTTACTAGGTGTAGCGAAAATTTATTAGACAGATTCAGCTGTTAATGTATTTGTAACTGTCAGTGGAGCCAATTTTCTTCATGTGTCTGACAACAGGATTGTATATATAACTAGTAAAATTCTGACTTTTTACAGTGAAGTGTATATGTACCCATTTTCTGCATTTAGTTATATAACTTTATACTATTTTTAGGAGAACTTTAGGCTTCTAAACTTCTACCCTTAGCAAAGATTAATGTGGTACTGTCCAGAGACTGAGTGAAATTAAGTCTATTTCCCTGGGCACTGGGTAAACACAGAATAGAAGATGATCCTTCCCACAAAGGTCTTTAGACCCACACCAACAAGGGACTGAGCCAGCTGAGGCAGGGATGGATCAAGCAAGTGAAGTGAGCATTATTGTGGCACTAAGGAGGAAGCTAATCTCATAGTTGGGTTCTTTGTTGGTTGGGTTTGGTTTTTTTTTCCATTCAGAGAACAGTGGTGAAAAAAATTAAGAAGAGATACGCTCACATGAAAAGAAGTTAAGGGGAAGACACTGAAGTGCTTTATGATGAGAAAGTCTAGCTAATATATCTATGTTGGTACACTGACATGCTCTTTCTTGTATAGACAAGGCCTTGGAGAGCATTTGATGTGAATTCTAACTGCAGTGCTTTATAGTACTCAGAACACTACACGTCATTTTTGAAGAAACAGATGTTCTACAAGTTGCTTTTTTGCCAAGTGAGAATTCTTGACTCCTGCTAAAGTTAATGAGAACTGCAAGCACTCAATCACTCAACAGCTTAAGGCCTCACACTCTTACATCACTTAAAAATAAGCATTCATTGGTGAAAGGAATACCTGTGTTTTCTATCAGTGCAAAAGAAGGAACAGAAAACATCATAAATATTTGTATTATTATAAGTTAGGATACTGGCCTTTGGCCTACTCTATAGCTCTTTGACATTACCAAAAAGATTTAGATTAAGAGCTTGAGTATCGTTTTCTCCGCATATACAAAAAGTGGAAGAGCTGAACAAGTTCAAACTCCTCCAGAAATGCCGATTCTTTCACCTGCCAGAGCAGCATCTGATTGGTTAACACCAATAGGATGAGCATTTATAGAAATTGTAGGTGCTCAGTGGAGTAACACAGTTCTGAGGGAGGAAAGACAATGGCTAATCAGGCACACAAAAACTGGAAGAGCTGTAAGACAGATGTTTCACATCTGCAGGGGCATGTATCCTGTGTTACACTCAACTAACTCTTGCAGTAAAATGCATAGGTTACATTTGTTCCAAAGTGAGCTTAAAGGCATGGGTCACTTTAACTTTCGGGTGGCCATATGTAATCTTATAAGTGCATTTGCCTGAAAAATTAGAACGAGAGTAGGAGTGATGGAATCCTGCAAACATTGCTTGCAAAGCAACTTCTTACTTTGAGCTGTCTGTATGACCCAATGTTAGTTGGGAATGGCAGTAAAATACCAAATACTAGCTTTTGCAAATGTCTGAGATTCTTTTGATGTCATTGACATTAACCTGATTCATAACAAAGACCTTGCCAGCAAGGTCTAGCAAAAACCTATCCTGAAATAGCTTTTACTTCGGATGTACAGAGACATTCTGTATTAATTTCTCTGAGAAAAAAAAAAAGTTTGAATATTTTTTTAAATTTAAAATTGATAGTTCTTTTCTCCTGAAAAATATGTTTTCCAAATACCTCTTTTTTTTTGTTGATATCTGTCTGTTAATTAAAAAATAATCCTAAATACTTAGGAAAATGGATTATTAATAATTACAGAAATGTGAGAAATTCAATTTGTTCCAGTGAGTGAGTTTCTCTGTGACCCATTTAAGTTTTTATAGCAGCCTCACCGTAATGTATCCAAGTAACTAAGTAAATTATGTATAGGCACATTTCCAGGACTATTTAGTCATCCTATGTTACTATTTTTCTGTATTTTTAGCTTCTGATACTTTCTCCTTAACCGCTAATGTGTCTAAATGCCATAATGGAAGTTGCAAATCCTCCTTACATGCTGAAAATGAGGCCTCAGATATGTTCATTAACCAGAAGTCCTGGTATTCTGGAATGTTGGTAGCTCTGGAACAGGTTGCTCAGGGTGCTGGAACTAGATGATCTTTAACATCCCTTCAAACTCCAACTATTCTACGATTGTATTTGTGCTCAGTTGTGAGAGTTTTACCCTTATTTCTTCCATTGGCAGCTATGTGTAGAAATAAATGATATTAAACTAGTTGAAACAAGGAAAAATTGAAAGCTACGTTCACTTTGATTAAATAAATGAAGAAAGTACTTTCTTACATTTTAATTTTCCCAGTGCTGTATGACAGACTGCAAAAAACAGGGAATTCTTGAAGTCCTATGCAGAGTCATTACAAAAGTTGGGCAGATTCTGTCACTCCAAACCTTGGCAGATTCATATCTACCTGTATTAATAGAGACTGGCCTGTGTATTTTTGAGAAAATATACCTATCTCCTTTGTCAATAATGCTGTATTTCAATAATAATTCTAAAGAGTTGATTTCTCATAAAGGCCATTTCTGGCAAGATACTGACATCTATGAAAAGCATGTCTAAATTCAACAGATCATTAAAACTGAGCTTTCTTTTGTAGCTGATTTGCTACATGGGCCCTTTTTGAATCTTCTAGGTAGCAGAGAAAACAGAATGTGTTCATCAGACCATTTCATGAAAGGAAACAAGAATAAACTATTCTATGAGGACCAGAAATAACTGGATGACTTCTAAGGTTGCCTGTGGTTTTGGCATTCCTTAAACTGTGAATTAGAATAAACAAGGAACAAAACACTTCTTTTTTTTTTTCTTAACAAATTAGAAAAAGTTAATTGGTAAAAATAATTGGTGAAAAAGTAAATTGGTAAAAATTACAAAAGAAATGCCTTTTCATCTAATCCCTAAAGGCAGGTGAATATGGACTTCAAAATTCATTCCTGGATCTAGACTTCTCCAAAAGACAGGGACATTCACATTTAGGATCAGGTCAAAAGGACAAAAGGAGCTGAGGAGAAATATTCCCAATACACAATAAAGAAAATCCCTAAATATAGCATGTTAAATTGAACAAGTATTTCAGTTATGTTGTGGCCTTGGAGAAATGTATCTCCAAATCAGAAGTCCTAACAGTCTCCACTCTCCTGAACGTGCTTGAAAAGCAATCCAGCTAGAAAATGCGTTTTCCTTCTCCCTGCTCCAGAATCCTTACCCATGTCCCATTGCTTTTACAGGAGCACATTCCCTCTCTTTCCTCTATCAGGCCTCACCTGACTCAGTTATGTACTCTGAATGCTTTATTTGCAGTGTCTTCCATCCTGTTTTTAACTGGTTCTGATGCTGCAGGACAGTATTTGCTGGACAATATAAAAGGGTTGCAGACTTTCAGGACATGCTGTGCAGTAAGCAGGTTTTCTTGATGTAAACATCTGTAGTGCTACTGTGTCTGTATGCAAATAGGACTTAACATGGATACTGTGGACAAACAGGGCTGAGAGGTTGTTGGGCTTGTTTGCTGAATTTAAGCTAGACTTTAACTGCAGACCCAAAAGTTAGCCAACATACTGATGATCTAAAATACTAACAACTCCCCTGCTATTACTACAAAAAGAATACAGGAATGGAGCAAAATCTTTCCATACTCATGAAATTTATAGTGTTCCCCTCTAAAAAGATAACAACTGGCTTGGTATGAAATATAGTTTAATTCAAATTTCAGTTCTACTGATGTTTCTTTGACTTTGAAGGTCAGACATGAAATTTTACTATTATCATTTCCTCTGCCTTTGTTGCTTCATGAAAAAGGCATAGTCTTGCCTTATTCTCTGGGCTACCTGTTTAGCCTTATATGGCAGGACAATAGCTGCAAATGAAAAGTAAATTCCTCTTAAAGAAAAATCAAAACAACACACATGTAAACACACACACAAATTGTGGGTGGGAAGAAATCAAGTAAACGTTCATTGTATTTGCAATTTCTTTCCTTTCAGTTGGAACTTCAAGAAGCTGAAACTACTCCACTGCCGTGACAGGGTCTCCGGCCTCAATAGCTCTCAAACCAATTGCACACCAGTGCCACAGTGTGTCTGGGCCGTATGCTATGGGAATGTGTAGGATACACTTGCTCTCAAAAAAATACCAGAGGAAAGTGCCTGCTTTTCCACTCTGTCAAAAATTGCTTCTGCAGCACTTCTACATTGCGCATAACAGAAGCAGGAAACTTAAAAGAAAGCAGAGCCAAGAGATACGGGGGCTTGCAGGCTCCAGTGTTCAAAAGTCATGTTTACCAGGAGTACATACATTAGCCCAAAACAAAGCTACTGTACCTGTAGCGATCTGACGTGCACTTGGCGAGTTACAGAGGTGTTAAACAGGTTGGAAACAAAAATCCAAAGGCTAGACAACTGTAGTTTGGAAAATGAAGGTGAGCTTTTAATGACGGGGAATAATGGGAAATGAAATTGTAATATTGTTGGGTACTCGATTTACTCCTAATATTTATTTGTAAAGATGTTTTCTGTGCAGGTTATTTGTGTGCTGAAGTCTCTCACAAGATCATCTAGAATAATACATTTGCATTTCAAGAGATCTGCTCTTACAAGGATTGCATGTTCCACAATTTCAATGGAAAAATACTTCTTTCTGTGCTTACTTAACAAAAAACCAGAACTCCAAGCTTCACCTTCTGCTTCTGCTTCTCACATAAAAAAACCCCAAAACTTTAAAATGAAAACAATGAGCTATCATTTCTTCTAAAAGAGATAAGTAAATTAAATTATTCCATGTTGTTATTGACTGTCAAATGACTCCCAAAACAGCATAGACTCAAGAAATTCCTATGTGAATAGAAATCTAGCTATAGGCCTGTCAGAGCTACCACAGGCTAATGACTACTCTTTCAAGTAGTTTCTGAAATTTCAGCTGCCTTGTGAGCAACATTCTTAACATGCTAAATTCTGAACATTCTGAATTTGTATGTCCCTATGTGAAGTGCTTAGAGCAGTTAATGCATTAGACCTTTTGTGGGGTTTGAGTTTGTTGGGGTTTTTTTAAGTTACCTTTTGCTAGACATTGATTTTTTTCTTAACCAAACCCATAATCTCTTTGCTTTTCTAACTAATGTAATACAGTCTGCTTCTCCATTTTTATTAGCTGCAAAAACACATTAAGATTTATGAAAGAAACATTGTAATGAAGTAAATACCACCTTAGCTGCTTTCTAGTATGAAAAATAGAAATACCCATTTAGATAATTTGTGGTGAAACAGTATTTTCTAGCCACTATTTGTTACTTGCTTTGTAAATAAATCATCAGTAGTTGATCATGGGAAAATGTACTTTGATGAATTTAAGTGTATTCTAAAATAGAACTCAATGGAACAGGGTTTTTTTGTCTTTTATTTCTTCAGCCAAAATGTGTTTCTTATTTTCATAGTGAAAATCTATGTAACAATATGCTTTTAATGTGAATTTGTTTATTTCTGCCATGGACTGTGTAATAAAGATTGAAGGCTAAATCCTTGCAAGTTGTAAATAAAAGTAATATTTGAGTTTCATCACTGCGTTGCAGCTAAATATGTAGCCTTGTATATCAGTAGAATATGAAACTAAATATAGCAGAAGTGCCTTATTTCCCACACACACACTTTTTCTGTTGAAAATTCCACTGTGCTGTCACAGGGATTTAATATTTAGTTTTGTATTAAGTTTAGCAGTATCTCCTCATAGTCACCATTAACGTTTAAACCAGAGTCATCATCATTATAAGAGGTTCTGCATCTAATTTTTAAACAGTGTAAGATAGGCACTAGGAAGAATTAGACATATTGTTTTGTACTCCACAGCAGTATTAAATAACAAGAACACAGAATATGCAAGAAATGCAAATGAATTAACATCATACATTGTCATTGCAATCTGATGGGTTCTGAGTAGTCTACTATATTCACGTACAACCACCTTACAAGACTGAATTATATTTGAAAAGTCTTAACTGATAGATCAGAAATATGCTTGATTAAAATCATAGTTTCATGACTAGTCAAAAGTTCATCAGCTTTCACAGAATTTTCATAATAAATGGAAAGTGTTATTTTCTTCTGTACTTAGAATGGAATGAAGCTCATCGACAAAATGCTATGATTTGCCAACAGACAGCCTAATATTATTAAAGATATTTTCAGTTTCAATGGTCCAGTAATTAATTGAGCAACCTGACTGTGAATATTTTTAGTAGTAGTAATGTTGTTGTAGCCTTAATAGTCTAAGGATATGAGAAAGCAAATTTTATTAGCAGAGCATTAGCAAAAATAAATAAAATGTCTTGTTTTTTTCCAGAAGGCTTGAATGTTCATTGTTAGTGCTTCACAGTAAGTAGCATATTGCTAGACAACTTCTGTATCTGCCTTGTAAACCTTTAATAAAAATGTTTGTATTTCTTGTATGTTCACAACACGCATTCAGATACATGTTGATTAATAGGTTATGCCATATATTAATAGCTTGGCTTTAAAAAATGCCATGCAATCAACTGACACTGACACAACTGTCTTGAAGGTTCTCAGATAAATTTCCTGACTGCTTTAAAGAATATGTTGCTTTATTTATTTTAGAAAGTAGAAATCCCAATAGTTCATTATTTTTAAAAAAAATAATAATTAAGAAGCATATGGGCAGAATTCAGTTTTGATCCAAACCACGTCCCCCCTGTGCTGAGAACGCACTGAAGGGGACTCAGCTCCAGGAGCCAGCCAGTGCAGGAACCTGTCTCCAGCAAAGAGACAGACAGGGTGAGCAGAAGGAAACTCCCTTTCCAGCTTCTGGCAGGCAGAAGCTTCCCAGGCCTTTTCCTATTAAATTAAACAGCTTGGGCATATGCCCAGGCACTGGAACAATCTTGCCTGTTCTGCTAAACCCGGAGGCAAGGCAGAGCCTGGCACTACTGCCTGGCTCCCTGCTGACCCACATGCTCCTATGCAGTTTTGGAGGCTAAACTAATTTACTGTCTTCAATGCAAGCTGCTTTGCCCAGTGGGTCTCAGAGTCATGATAATGTTACCGGACACATTTTCTTTATTGTTGCAGAAGTACTCATAATTTTTAAAATACTTTGGTGAATTTTTCTTTATGGAGTTACCAGACAAATTCTTCAATCTATAAATTGACAGGGGTTGTTACCTAAAAGGTGTTCTAGCAAGGAATGCCATGGTTGAGTTGTGCTGAAATATTTTTAATTTGTTGATCTTTTTTTAAGTTCCACCAGATAATTTATCTGGGCATAACTAACTTATGAAGATAGGCTGAGAAAGTTGGGGCTGTTCAGCCTGGAGAAGAGAAGACTGCGTGGAGACCTCATAGCAGCCTTCCAATGTCTGAAGGGGGCCTACAAGGATGCTGGGGAGGGACTCTTCATTAGGGACTCTAGTGGTAGGACAAGGGGGAATGGGTTTAAACTTAAACAGGGGAACTTTAGGTTAGATATAAGGAAGAAGTTCTTCACAGTGAGGGTGGTGAGGCACTGGAATGGGTTGCCCAAGGAAGTTGTGAATGCTCAAATCCTGGCTGTGTTCAAGGCCAGGTTGGACAGAGCCTTGGGCGACATAGTTTAGTGTGTGGTGCCCCTGCTTATGGCAGGGGGGTTGGAACTAGGTGATCTTAAGGTCCTTTCCAACCCTAACTATTCTATGATTCTATGATTCTGTGATTTCTTGTATTTGGAGAAAAAAACAAAAGTGAAAACAGCCGTTCAATTTGACATTTGAGCAAGGTGAATAAATACGACTATTCAGTAAGGAATAATAATGACTGTTTTTATTCTCTTCTTCATGCCCACCATGGTCTTATTGTAAAAGTCTTCAGTTGTTTTTAACCTAGTGTGCTCATTGCCATTTTGAACACTCTTGAGCACTGCAGAAATATTTCCAGGGCATTACCCACAATGACTCTTAAGATCTTTTGTCTGATGAGTAACAACTAATCTACTTGCCATTTTTGTACATAAGTACATACTGGATTTTTTTTCCCCTGTGCATGCATTATTTTATATATTTTGACTTTGTGTGCCATCCACCATTTGATCCCCCAGTCACCCAATACCATGACCTCCTTGTCACATCTAACCTAGTTTTGACTATTTTAAATAACTGTGTTTTTAGGAATTTTGTTACTTCACTGCGTGCCCCTCTTAACATGAAATGTATGACTAAATGGGACAGCAACTTTCTGGGACATCACTAGAAACCTCCCTTCCATTTAATATTTATTCCTACTTTTGTTTCTTGCCTTTCATTAAGTTAATACAAAGAATACTGTATCTCATGCAGCTGGATCACTTTTTCCCACATGCTCATCAGCTAATCCAATGACCTCTAAAACCCTGGGTCAGTTGTTCTTCATTCTGTCATACTTGCCACTTGCCTATCCATGTGCTTTTTCACCTACCTGGCTTACTGAAAAATCAGAATTACTTGTCAATTGTTCCCCTTTCCTGAGGTCTTTTTTTTTAAAAAAAAAAAAAAAAAGATTCCCAACTGTCATGTATTATTTTAGTTCTAAAGTCAGTTTTAAAGTGCATAATACAACACAGTTAATAGCTCAGCAATTTCATACTTGAGTTCTTTTAGAACCCTTGAGTAAGTAACATCTGGCCCTCACTATTTGATCCTATTTGAAAACCTGATTTATTTTAAGTCATTTCAGCTAACACTTCATTCTGAGACAGCTCTTCAGGCTTCTCCTCTATGAAGAATGCAACACAGAAACTCTCCTAAGTTCCTCTATAATGAACTCTCTTGTGAAGGATTGACACATCTTTTGATTTTCCACCATGTCTTTTATTTCCTAGTTATTTACTGGACCCTTGTCAGCCTTCCAGTTTGTCATGCTATGTTTACACTAGGCTTTAAATACACTAGGGCTGAATACTTTTCCATATTACCAGCATATAACAGGAGTAGTCAAAGAAGCTAAGTCCACAGCAAAAAAGCTAACTGATCTATGATATCTTTAAGTCAGACACTGAATCATTTGGAGAAATACCAGAGAAGTAACTTACTATATCCAGACATCCATTCAAAACAGTGTTTCTGTGATTCTGTAATTGCATAGTACAGCACACAGTGAGGTTTTGGATATA